GCTTTGACTAGAGTGGAATTATAAGCCTCGTGATCAAATTAAATTGCGAAATCATTGTAATTTCTCTGTAAAAAGATGAGATTCGAGTAACATTAATCAAATAATTCGAGATCAATAAAGTAAATACATTTCGTAAATTATTCATATTGTATCAAATTACAGAAAATAGAGAGAAACTGGCCAAGTAGAAGAGGAACTATAAATATTGACCTGATTTCGTAAAAGCGTATGATGTCTATAATGTATCATTTTATCCCTTTTTAACAGTGAATAATAAGAATAAAATGATATATCACATACACTTTACGAATCACATTTATTGTTGATGTTTATAATCCTTCCGATACTTTCTTTATAGAAATCTCTATAATGCTTTCTCTTAAATAGAATTATTAAGCAAATTGGCATACCCTTAATCGATTATTGCCTCACGAAATAGCCAAGTTCGTGACCCCGAGTATCCTTTGAATAAGTTTTGTTACTTTATAAAACAAGTGTGTGATCCGTTGTTATTTGATGCAGTAGGAAAGTTTGTTTATGAAACTTCGAACAGAATCAATATATTATTTATAAAGAGTTCACCACTTGTGTGCTTCGTTCTTTGACTTTCTTAACGTAACTCGTGCTAAAGAAATTTAATAGGATATAATAGACAGTAAAAAGAATCCTTCAGAATGAAAAATTAGAAAACGCTTTTCAAATATTAACGTTGCTAACGAAGTAACTTTTTCATCGAGGAAAAAACAAGATCATATTATTTATTGGCTAATTCTGGAAAAACAAAGTTATTCTTACCTGAATAAAGATAGTTTTAGACATGCTTGATATGGATAAGCTTTTTTGTGACTTTGATGAAGAAAATCATACTACAGATTACAATAAAATCAATCAGCGTGCACAATGAATCTAATTTACAAAATTGTAATTGTTGAATGTAATTTTTAATTAGTTTAACTTTCATATTTGGGTAGACATTTTTTAATTAATAATTCAGTGTATATTTCATCGTACATTTCTTTGATGTTTAAATAAACAGATGATCACAGCATCTCGCTCATATTTTAAAAACTTTGTCCTGGAAAAGAAAATAAAAAGTGTATTACCTAGGAGTTTTAAAGTTATTTTTACATTCTTTTATCTCATGAGGGTATAAATAATGTAAATTTAATTTTATATATATTTTTTTAAAAGATATCTATATATTTTTTAAAAAGGTAACTATAAAGATATAAGAAAATTTAGAGTGTTCTAAGCACCCCACCCACCTATTTCAAAATTAACAAGTTAAATAATGTAACGATAAATTGTGAATTGTTTTATCACTACAAGTTTTTCATCCCTTTACGTTCAATGTATTCAGTCTCTCAATTATGACATGAATAACACACAAAGTACTAAAATAACAAGAAATTTCTTCCTTTGTAGCTACCGTGGGACATGATCCGCAGACGAGCAACGGCGGTCAGCCGCAACTGCAGCAACAGCAACTACAATTGGGAGGTTGGCTGGGAGGAAATGTCGGTGACACTGGCGGTGGATTGGTCTGCCGATCTGGCAAATCGGTCAATGGCAGCAGCAACGGCAAACCGTCGTTACACCATCCTCAACAACAGCGTCAACAGCAACAACAGCAGCAGCAACAACAACAAGGCCAATCTGGAGGTGTGGGGGATGACGAAGACGGGGGTGGAGGGAGCGGAGGGCTGGAGGGGACGGACGCAGAGGCGAACGACGCTGTTCACCTCAAGAGACGGGTGGGACTCGTCAGTGGGGTGGCTCTAATCGTCGGCACGATGATCGGCTCCGGGATCTTCGTGTCGCCGTCGGGTCTGCTGTTGCGTACCGGCAGCGTCGGCATCAGTTTTGTCGTGTGGACCGCGTGCGGTCTGCTGAGCCTCTGCGGCGCTCTCGCCTATGCCGAGCTGGGCACCATGAACACGAGCAGCGGCGCCGAGTACGCGTACTTCATGGACGCGTTCGGCGCTCCGCCTGCCTTCCTCTTCTCCTGGGTGTCCACCCTGGTGCTCAAGCCGTCGCAGATGGCGATTATCTGTCTGTCGTTCGCCCAGTACACCGTCGAGGCGTTCACCGTCGACTGCGAGCCACCTGATCAAGTGGTCAAGATCGTCGCCCTGCTGGCGATCGTTCTGATACTCCTGATCAACTGCTATAGCGTCAACCTGGCCACCGGTGTGCAGAACGCTTTCACCGCCGCCAAACTAATGGCCATACTCGTGGTGATAATCGGCGGCTCGTACAAATTGATACAGGGTAACACACAGCATCTGCAAACGGCGTTTGACACCATCGATGGTAGTAGCATCAACATCGGTCGCCTCGCCACCGCTTTCTATACTGGCCTCTGGGCATACGACGGCTGGAACAATCTTAATTATGTAACCGAGGAGATCAAAAACCCTTCCAAGAATTTGCCTAGATCCATCATGATCGGCATACCGCTCGTTACGCTCTGCTACGCGCTCATCAATGTATCCTATCTAGCGGTCATGTCACCATCAGAAATGATTGAGAGCGAGGCCGTGGCGGTGGTAAATATGTCAACACAAATTTATGTAGAGAACACATTACTCTTCTCAGAAAAAGATTCCTTCCGAAAGTGACGCGTAAAATGGTAGAATCGATCCCATCAAACACCAATTAACAATGACATAATTGTTACATTAGTTATAATTTCCCACTCAACAATAATTATAATATAACATACATTACAATTATATTGTTGAGTGGAAAATTATAACTAAGTCATTGTTAATTGATGTTTGCTAAAGATATGAATTTCTTCGATATCGCTTTGCAAGTAGAATTGAGTTATCGGAATTCAGAGAGACTTTGCTCCGATCAATTTGTTTCTATATTCTGATGATAGATCGAAGTATTTTTTTTCGCAGACGTTCGGCAATCGGATTCTAGGCGTGATGGCGTGGCTAATGCCGCTTTCCGTAGCGATCAGCACCTTCGGATCCGCTAATGGCACTCTGTTTGCTGCGGGTAGACTCTGCTTCGCCGCGTCGCGAGAGGGTCATCTGCTCGACTGCTTGAGCTACGTGCACGTGCGACGCTTTACTCCTGCCCCAGGCCTCATCTTCCATTCCCTCGTAGCAGGTATCAAAACAGACCTGGATTAAAAAAAACTTGCTTGGAGAGATAACTCTTTCGCATTCACCAAAATCAAATTACTCGTTTCTATTTGTTTGTGTTTGTTTACGAGCGTTCACTTGAAATTTAACTTTATCTAATCGCTCTGAATTTTTTAAATTGTTTTTTAAATATTTTTTCGATATAAATTTTCAGCTCGTCTTTTAGATATCTTCTAGGAGTAGAATTGTATCTAAATTTTCTTACATCATCAACGTGTCCTCCCGACTTATTTGAGATTTTGTTTTATGTAACATACATATGTTGTTCTACTTTCAAGGCGAGACCATTGCTATATGGACTGTATCGACTTCAAGGTGTCTAAATGTGTTGTAAGCCAAAATACTGATTTCGCAGGCGCGATGGTTCTCTCCGGTAACATCGATTCGCTGATTGACTTCTTCTCGTTTACTGCATGGATATTCTACGGCGGCTCGATGGTCGCCTTACTGGTGATGCGGAAGACCAGGCCCAATCATCCGCGACCGTACAAATGCCCACTAATGATACCTATTCTTGTGCTCGTCATCTCCGCGTATCTCATAGTAGCGCCGATTATCGACAAGCCCCAGATCGAGTATCTGTACGCGGCTGGCTTTATCGGTGCGGGCATGCTCGTCTACCTCCCGTTCGTAAAATTTGGATATGTGCCCAAATTCATGGGTGGGTATAGACATCGTTACACTGAAAATAAAGACTCGACAACGAACGATTAAAAATTTTATACAGTGCCTTGTTATCAGTTTTTGTCAATATATTATATAATATGAAATTTAAACTTATTTCTAAAAAAGAAATAAATATCTTATTAAAAAAGAAAAAGCAGCAAGTAAAATTCTAAGATTCTTGTTAAAAATCTGAAATTCAAATTAAATCAATCTAGTCGAGTTTCAAGAAATCTGAAATATTAAGTTTGTAAAAAGAAATATACGTAGAAATAAACTCCTAAAAGGATCAATAAAATTAAGTTAACAAAATTAGAATCTCAAAAAATACGAAAGTAAAATCAAAATTCAAAATCTTTTAAATCTCTCTTCAATTTAAAATAAAGATTTATCAAATCTTAAATTAAAATTCTTATTAAAATTTTTTTTCTCCGTTTTCTGCTAAATTTATTTTGACTAAATAACTTTAATAAAAAAAAATTGTTTTTTTATTAAAGTTGTTTCTACTAATTTCTGTTTGACTTTAAATTTTACATTGTATGTTTTGTTTTCTGATTATAGAAGGTGTCAATGCCTTCCTGCAGATGTTACTAGAGGTGGCTCCAACGGCGGCTGCCTTCGACTGATTTCATTTCGAAAGATCAACGTACAGTTCTCCAGAATGCCGAATCATTCCATTATGGCATTGTGTGAACTGTATGAACACCTGAATATATCCTATTTTAAATACATGCAGACGAGAGCATTATATCCTATATATTACAAAGCTCAAGGCTGGCCCAAAAAAAATTAATATAAAAAAATCATATAAAAAAAGGCATATATATATTATATAAAAATATATTATTTTATTACTTGTTATTCTTCATACATAGTATACAATATGCAGAAGAGATATTATTGTTAGACAATAGATAGTTGATGTTGTAATGAAAAAGCGATGAATCAACAGAAAATATTTTAAATGTTTGCAGTTATAAATTTTTGCCTCTTTTTCTTCAGATATCCTTGTCCTTTTCCTGAACTATTATACAAATTGTATATTAATTTGAATTCGTAAATTTTATTAATTTGTTCTTTTAAAAATTAATTTGTGTACAATCTAATTAAAACATATCTAATTGATAAATTAATTGTAATTATTAATTATAAATATAGTTTTTATTCTGAACAGTCCTTACAAGATATTTTATTTAAAACATATTTCTACTTTACCCTACCAATTTCGTGTAAAGTTTCATGTTTTAGAAACTATTTTTACTTTCAGCTCTTTTTCTTGGGCAAGATATCTTTCGGTACTTTTCCATAAACTTGTAGAATACCACTATCCTTCTTCCGTGTTTTCTTAGACTTAGGTTTGAGCAAACTACTGGTGAGTCCAGACTTGTGTCCTTCCTCCTTTTTCTTCTCTTTCTCTATCTTTTGACGCGTCTTTAATGCTTTGTAATTCATTCTCCTGTTCTTGGGAGGTATTGCACCTAAACTAATAGCGAGCTCAACCTTTGCTCTCCTCGCCTTTGGTTTCTCGAAACCAGACATACCAAATTTGATAATCTCATATCGCAACTTCTTCATCTCTTTTTCTTGTTGTTGTTTTAATTCAGCAGGTGTTTGTTTCGTAGATTCCTCAAGCTTTTCTTTGTTATTTGAGTCATCTGCAGATTTCACCTTTTTCTTTCGCGCTGTATAATTTACAGATATGTAATCACTCGTCGCAGTTTTCTTGATTTGAGAGCCACGTGTTGGTACAAAGTCTTCCATTTTTTCTTCGTACTAAAAAAAATTAATATTAAAAGAAAAAAGCTTTATTTCTCTTCTGATCTAACCTCTCTATTAACAATATACAAAAGAAAAGTAATTTTATAACCTCGAAAAGAATTACAGAATAAATAAATGTTGAAAATATTTTAAAAATAAGAATGCATCTATTCAACGATCAATAATCATGAACATTTAACTTACGGACTTATAGCAATCTCTAATCATAACTGATCATAATCTCGTTAGTAAAATTGGCATACAAATCGCAAGTTTGTTCTAAGAGCAGCTCGCGTTTTGCCGCATTCATATAGATTAAGGTGCATTTTCATGAGCCGCTCAAACCTGTCATTTCAACGACAGATAACATATTGTTTTTTTCTTAGAAACTGTACGTTCATTGGCTACCGCTTTGTATTTTGCCGCATAGCAAGTATTTCGGCAATCGGCATCGATCCAAAATACGAGCCATAACTCCTATACATTTATTCTTTATAACTTTTTAATTTATTTTTATTTTTTTTTATAATGTAATTCGTTGAATCCACAAATAGAAACAATTAGCGCGAATTCAGTCATCTGCATTATTAAATTAATACATACTAAAACCCATCAGATAACAACGTGTCTCTTGTTGCTAGCACGTTGCTTGCTAAATATACATTGCTAAGTATTCGTTGTTATCAAAATTGCAGCAACTGAGTCCTCATTTGTTGGCAACTTGATGCCTTTACAATATAATAACATTGAGTAGCAACTTGTCAGCAATTTGCCGACAATTTTAAAATCATCAAAATTCGTACTGTCATCATGTTGCCATAATAATGCAGCATCATACAATGCTCTCATATTGCCGACAATGCAAGATAACATTGACGCAGCTATCTTGTTGTTAAACTACTGACAATACATATACATGTTGTCTGCATGTTGCTATAATATCGGTATACTCAAAATCATTGAAGATAAATTTAAAACAAGTTGCCACCATCATAAGCAATCACAGATTTATACAATTTTGCTGAGATATCGCTTTGCTATCTGGAAAGCTATTATACAAATTAACAAAGCTAAATATGGATACGAGATATTGTAGATTAAAGTTATTTATAAATCATATTTTTAATAATTTATAATTTTCATGTTTTATTAAATTAAAAAATTTATTAGTCATTATTTTTTTATTGTACATATCGTGAATCATTTATAATTTATTTAAAAAATTTTATTTTTTATAAATTATATACATTCTTAGGTTGTGTATATGTTGTGACTTTATCTAATTATTTTATTAGCGCAATAATTCTATAGTTAATATAAAACTTTAATGTAAAGCATTCAATATACATGTACTGCAACAAATTTTATTCTTTTGTAGAAAATTTTGGTGTGCATAGAAAAGATTCATGTAAAACCTTATGAAGTTTTTGAGCTTTATGTAGACCAAATCCAGGACATAAAGTTAAAGTGTTGGGTTGTGCTCTTACAATGTTAGCTAATGTGCCAAAAGTTGTTAGAAGAGTTGTTGCATCAGTTTTGTTGACAGATCTTACTGTCGTTAAGGCATTAACCAACTGTAACGAATATTTATTATATAAATATTTTTCTCACATATATATAAAATATATACATATTTTTTAAATATATCTATATATATATATTTTTTAGTAGATTAATAATTACTTTTTGATAAGGCGCTGTTTCGCTGCGTTCCATGATATTATCAGGGGGTTTGTTTTCATATATTTTATAAGTTTCGATAATTTTTCCTGCATCCTCTGCATTCCATGCTAACATTATTGTCAAGTCTGCCAAAATGGAAATCCTTGTTAAATGTTTCAAAGCATGATGAGGCTCGGGGACATCAATCTAATTGAAAAAAAAATTTTAATATAGATACAAAAAACTACAATATTTCTAATTTATATAAAACTTAAGATTATAAATTATGAATTATGAGAAATAAATAATATAATTACACCTAATCAGAATTAATGTTGTATAAAGAATTATATTAATCAATTAAATATTTTTATAAAATAAATATATAAATTGTAGTTATATACCTGTACTAAAAGCACTCGTAAGTTATACGCATTGCCCAATAACTTAAGTCTTTCATGAATATAATCAGGATTTAGTTGGTGATAACGAATTGATAAGAAAAGAGCACATGTAGTTTTTCCCATTACATAATCTGGCACAATGTCGGAATATTCCCATAATACATTTGTTATAAACTTTAGTAACGGATTGCCTTTCTGGAAAGAAAGAAAAGATATTATACATTTTTTAAATTTAATTAAGTTTTAATATAACATGTTTTAAATTTTATTGACAAACTTACTTTCTATAAAAATATATTATTAACTTTGATTAGTTTGCAAAATATATTTACTCTTAAAAATTTATACTTAAAATTTATTATTACTATAATAAATTTATAAAATATAAGAAAACAGTATTACTTGCTTTGGACTGACAAGGACAGTGCTGGTTTTACTTGAAGATATTGCCGTGGAAGTTTCAGGCTTAGAAGCTGGCAAATCTGTGAAAAACTCAGATTTCTTCAAGTTGCTAAAAGCAGCTGAAAAAAGAAATCCAAGTTATAAGATATACAGATAAAATTTTCAATTGTATTATAAGTAATTATTCTAAATAATTAAAACTATTAAAAATAGGTCTTATAAATTAATCTGCTTATACATTTTGTTCATAGATGCCAATAGAGATATAACAGAATGTATGGATATGTGATTGCAGAATGTATGGGTATGTGATTGTAGATTAATTATAGGAACCAAGCAGAATTTATCATTCAGTAGCCAATTATAATTAAATATTTCATTATGAAATTATATATAGGTTTTGTTTGGTTTTATTTATATAGGTTTTCTCTACTAGTAATTTGTTATCAGATTATTAACAGACTCTACTGACAGAACATGAGTTTAATGTACATGCAAATTGATACAATCTATATATGAAAATTCGATTTAAATCTGTTGATAAACTGCTAGTATATTACTGATATTTTACCTAATAATATTATAATGTAACTTACTCTGAAAAGACATATTTTTAGCTTGTTTTGTCGGACATTCATCATCCAAATCTTTTGCATTTTCTGTTGTATTATCCATAATACTGATTCTACAATAAGTCGGTAGTTGATAATCCTCAGTCTTATTGTAAATCGGTGAAATTGACCAATAGCCAACTTGTACGACTAATGCCCGTTTCTACTAATGTGGATTAATAATCTCGGTTCAACTTACTCTTAATCTTTTTTTTATTCTTAAAACTAGAAACCAAATCGACCGTAGCTGTATAGATGCGAAAAATCAATCACCTATTTAAATTAAGGCTGATTATTAAAACTTATATAATTTCCGACTACTCATTGTAGAATCAGCTTAATCTCTCTCTTTCATTACATAAATATTTAATAAATATTTAGAATAACCCGCTCGTAACCTCAGTTTTGATGCGAGCTGATATCTTTATGATTTTACAAACCATAAAGCCCAAGACACAATGCGAGGGAATAGCGATAGCGATAGGAATAACACGATTTCAACCTATCAGAAATCGGATATATCGGAATGCACAGTTTCTGATAGGTTGAAATCGTGTTATTTCTATCGTTACTCTCTCGCATTGTGTCTTTGATCTTAAGGGACTCCGCATAATAAAAGGAACAGAGAATAAGAATTTTAACCTATCACAAACTGTGTATTCTACAATACATGATTTCTGATAGGATGAAATTCTTGTTCTCTGTTCTCTGTCCTTTTATTGTGCGTAGCATCCAATGAGCTCCAATGAGAAAATTGCATATTAAAATTAGTAATGTGGCACTCATGACTCAAGAGTGATACCATGTGGCACTCTTCTAAAATGGAGTATGTCGTCAATCTGTTGATAGTTTAACGTCATTTACGACCCGGTGACGCTTAACCAAAAAAAAAAATTAAGCTGTTGGAAGGTGAGAGCAATCGGGCAATTAAATTTTGTCAATATTATTGTATAATGGCTCAATATCCGCCCATTAATGTACGTCTGGCGGTAAACAGGGTAGACTTCAATCTAATAACGAATGATGGCATCCAGCCACGGCTGTACACTCCTGGCGAGGAGATATCCAATCAACCGGATTTTCTGAGGTAGATAGTTGGCTGTTTTGATTTTACACAACACAGGAATGTGAAATTGATTGTTTGAAACTGATTATTTAATTAGAGGCCATGGAACTTACGTTGATGATGAAAAAACGTTGCGTGCATCAGTCGCTGGGATCTTGGAAAAGGTGAACAAACTTATATCGATTAGGCCCTTGAAGGCACGTTATAATGGAGAGATCGGAGATCTTGTCGTAGGAAGGATAACGGAAGTACAACAGAAGCGTTGGAAAGTTGATATAAATGCTAAGCTTGATGCTGTTCTGTTGTTGTCCAGTGTTAATTTGCCTGGTGGTGAATTGGTAAGATATATATATGAAGCACTTCTATTTTTTAAATATTTGTATAAAAATTTGAAATTTAAGCCTTGAGATTTAAGTTTTTTTATGATGTTTAAGTTAATCTTAGGCTGGTATATTCATAGTTGATTTTTATTTTAAGACCATTTCAAGTAATGTCTTAAGATATTAATGCAGCTTTCTGATTGATTTGTGACAAACTGAAAACTGAACTTAAGATGGTCTTGAATATAAGAACTGACTATGAATATTGAATATAAGAATTGAATATGAATACTGACCATAGAGTCTATTTAGAATTTAGAAAAAAAATATAAATATATGTAATTATTACTTTCTTTAATTTATAATAACTTCTTATTCTTATATGCTCGATTTTGGCTTATTAAATTATTTTTATTGGATATTGATATAATAAATTGATTTTTTACTTTGAAAAAAATAATTTTACTATTTATTATTATTCTTTAATGTAATTGAATATTCTTTAACCAAAATATATTTCAGAATTATTAAATACTCTTGTAATTAAGTTTTTTTTATAAAACTTTTATTTAGTAAGTACTATGTCAAAATAATAAAAAAATGCAACAGCTCTCAATATATCATACGTATTTGAATATTCTTTGAAAACTTGCAGAGAAGAAGATCCGCCGAAGATGAACAGACGATGCGCAGATATTTACAGGAAGGAGATCTGATTTGTGCAGAAGTGCAATCAATCTTCGCAGACGGGTCACTCTCCCTACATACGCGAGTATTGAAGTATGGCAAACTATCGCAGGGGATAATGTTAAAGGTACCACCGATGTTAATTCAACGCAAGAAGACACACTATCACATTCTAGAGAGCGGAGCCACTTTGATACTCGGTTACAACGGCTATGTATGGATCAGTGCAAACATTCAAAATGTCGATAAATCCGAGGGTGGTTTCACCGAGGATCTGTCGAAAATTCCGATGGAAAATCGCAATGTTTGCACACGGTTACGTAATTGCATCTTAATCCTGGCGCAATGCAACATGCTGTTATCCGATACCTCTGTGACGTATGCATACGAAGAATCCTCTAAGTACGACGTACACGAGTTGTTGCATCCTGAAGCGATGATCGACGTGTCGCTGTTAACGCATCAGAGACTCGCGCAGTCTATGTAATATCATGGCCTAAATGAAATAATACTGTAATGCGAAATGATTATATTGATAAATTATAATTATGAGATAGAAGTCTAAAACTATAGTAAAGGAACAAAATTAATCCTTTCATTTGCAATCTTGAAATGTAAAAGACATGATGAATAAAACAATTTTTTATGTAATATTGTAATACACCGAGCCATTTGATAATAAATCGATTTGACGACAAAAGTCGATACTTGTGAACCACTTGTTTCTCTTCGAGAGAATCGAGTGGCTAGATTATAACATATTGCAGATAATAGCGATAAGTATTATATATAAAATACTGCAGTATTTTCATCGATAGATCTATATTTGTCTGAGCGGTCCAGGTGTAAAGTGATCGGACAGACGCTAATCTGGGTATTGATTAAACAAGTGGAACTTGGAAACAGGTAGTCGGCAAGTAGCATCGAAAGACATGGACGCGTGTTTCACCGCCTTCGATAAAGACGGCGACGGATTCCTGTCGATTTCCGAATTTGATCTCATATGTCGTGCATTGTTTCGAAATGACCGCGGCAAGATTTACGGCCTCGAGGAGGATCAGCTGCGCGAGGTGTATTCAATCTTTGATCTCAAAGGCGACGGCCTGATCGACAGGGAAGAGTTCGAGGTATACAAAGGATGCTCATTATATTATAACTTATAATAACTCATTTTAAAAGAGAGCTTAAGATATAAAATATAATAGAAAAAATAATTTGAGTTTAAACTTTTTTATTAAATAAAAAGTATATTATTAGTTATATTTTTTTATCAATTTTTTTTTTGTCTTTTCTAGGAAGGTAATAGGATGTCTATACATATATATATATAATGATATTAACGCAATCAATTTTATACTTAAATATTTTGTTTTCTTTTTTAAATTATTTTAATTATTAATAAATATCTGAATTGATGTATTCAAAATTTTACAATGACTTATTTAATACTTATATATA